GTACCCCACACGTAAAGTCACAGAGAGAGAGAGAGAGAGTGTGTGTGTGCGTTCTTCGTTTTCTTATAAAATGGCTGCATCTATGTCATTAACATTATACTTACGTTCCAACTTTTCCGAGATAGGGGCCGCCCGCGGCCGAGAGAGAGCGAGAGCGAGAGCGAGGATGATGACGGTGGTGATTGTGGCGGAACTGCTGGGGGAGTACGCCTTGGCGGTGGCGAGGCTGGTGGAGCAGCTGTTGCCGCCGGCAAGGGCCGGCCGTCTTGGCCGCGGCCGTGCAGCCAGGAGATTCCTTCCTGATGCTCCGGAATCTCCTTTCCTTGTTTATTTTTGAGTGTTGTCGTGCTTCTTTTAAGGAGATTTTTCTGGGTGAGCGCATTTTATTTGTTCTTTCGTTGCCTTCACGGTGTGCGAGGAAGAAGTGGGTAATAGAGTGAGCAGGTGAACACCCAAACGTACAGTGAATCGATCAGTTCGTGACCTTTTTAGGTTGACCAATTCATTTGTTGGGGTTCCTGTCTTGAAAGCTACATTCATTTGTTTACTTCTGGGTTCATGTTGATGTTTTGCTCCTGCTGCACAGTCTGTGTATATGCACAGGAGTGATCTTTAAAGAAGGATATCGACAAAAGGTCAGTTCAGGATGCTGCTGTCATATTCTAAGTGAAGCAGCAAAAGCCATGGAAAATAGCCATTTCACTTTGGCTGTTGGATCATGCGATACCTCTAGTTCAGACTTGCTTTTTCTTGCCTACTGTGTTGACTTGCTGGTCATGCGTTGCGAGTCATTCTTCTGGTCAAATTAAAGGCTGATTCCGTACATTGGCTTTGAGAGATCATTCCAGAAAGCTATTTTAGCGTGGCCTAAACCTAGTTGCTTCGATAATCTTAGTACATTAAGATTAGCAGGTCTACCAAGTGATACTGCAAATGAAGTGAATGTGATCGTTGGGTAGGCCGAGCTGGTCCCGACTCTCGATTTCGGCTTAACTTGTTGCTTCAATCCGCCGTCGATAAAAACGGCCTGCATCCGGCGGATCAAGCAGGGCCAAACTTTATCATTAAATATCACTGTCTAGGACCGTCCGAATTTGTCTTCAGGCCCCTTTGGTGGGGGCACATCAAGAACAATAATATTAGCTGCAAGTTGATTAATATTCTTGCTGAAATAGTGTCAGCTTGCAAAAATGATTGATTGTCAATGCGATATTGAGTTCAACTCGTATCACCTAGAATCAATCAGTCTAATTCGTGTCATTAAAGATTTTTCTGTACAATTCTATTACAAGACAATGAATTGTGCGTTCATATGGCATAAGCCTAGATTTCCAAGTTTATATTGCAAGAAGGCATAAGATATCCCCGTAAATAGTAGGATATTAATTATACCATAAAATAATGATATTTTTTTTCACTCTTTGCGTGATACTATTTTCCATTTTAAGAAAATGATATCCGAAATTTTTACTGGAACACTTCATTCCAATATTTAGAAAATATTTTTTACCGAGAAAGAAATAATATGATTGATTGATAATGGAAAACCACTGCAATGATATGATTTGGCCAAATGTATCTCTAAAATACTTTGCCGATAGGTCAAAGCTATTTCTTCCTTAAATTTATAAGTTGGAGTCAAGCTGCCTTTGTTGAAGAGGAGTTTATGTGATAATGCTAATCTAGCTCATGAATTGATAAGAACTTGCCAGGGGCTAGTGTTGTGTCCAAAAGAGGATTGATCACAGCTGATCTTATGAAAGCATTTGACTTTGTCACTTAAAAATTTGTCTTTGCTGTCATGGAAGTCTTGCAGGTTCCTGATCAATTTTGGGAATGAATAAAAAGCTCTTTTTGCTAGGCCTTATATCTCCATCTCCCTTGCGAAGATCTTGAAGGCTTCTTCAAAGGTGAGAAGGGTTTGGGACAAGGGGTCCTTTATCCCCGTAACCCTTTGTCATGTTATGGAAGTATTTTCTCGACTAGTGTATAATGCAATTGAACAGGGCAAAGTCGAGTTTCATCCTGTTCAAAGGTCAAGCTCGCTCACTCGAATTGTGCGGATGATTCGTCGATCTTTTTTAAGGGATGGATTCATTGAATGAGATTCTGCATTTGTTCCAGAGATTCAAGCAAATGTCTGTCCTTAGGCTTAATCCACCAAAAACTGAGTTATATTTGGCTGGCCAAGAAGGTCAATATGTAGAAGAGATGGTGGCTTTGAGTGGATTCCCAAAGGGACATGCACCAGTTAGATATCTTGGTCTTACCCTGATTTTTTTGGAAGACTTAAGTGTTAAAAGATTGCAAACCGCTTGTGGTTAAGGTCACTTCTCGAATGAATTCGTCGACTGTGCAACGTCTTTCTTTTGCTGGGAGGGTGCAGCTTATTAAAGATGTGATACACAGCTTCATAAAAGTGGGGCATTGGGTCTCCTAATGCAGCAGATTGAACTTTTTTGACAGGATGGAATTGGACTTGTGCTGTGTTTTGATCTTGTATTTGGACTGGTGTTTGTAACTTTGTGCTATATTGGCTGTTGCACATGGAGTTCGATTGGAGTTGTGACTTATGGTAGGGCTTGTGACTTATGGTAGGGCTTGTTCATGAGATCAGTCCACCTATGGGTGAGAGGTTCAGGGATTGGTCAAGATTTCACTTAGAACTTGGAACCTACACTGTTGGAACCGGTTCTCCAGTTTTTAGAATGTGAAACCTACCCTGCATATCGGTTTCAGGGTCTGCCCGAAAACTAGCCGATTTTCTTTTTGGTTTCATTTTCTTTTTTTTTTATTTCATTTTTAGTTAAGTAAAATGAAAGTGAACACAATAACAAAAAATCATCATTTGTCAATAGCAACATTCCATAAAAGATGAACACGTAAATTAAAATAAAGGGATAAGTGTACTGGAAGTCCTAAAACTTGTCATGAAAATACAATTGAGTTTTAAAAATTGCAAAAAGTGCAATCAAGTCCTAAAAACTTGTTACGAAGTGCATCAAGTCCTTCCATTAAGTTTGTCCAACTTGGCTGATGAAAAATGCTGAAGCGGCTTTTTAAAATATTTTCTCTCTCCTACGTGGTGATAACGTGGCTAAAACGACATCGTTTTGGTCCAAATATGATTTTTTGTACAAATTTTATTTAAATAGAATAAATAATAAGCTTAATTTAAAAAAAAAGGAGTTAAAAAACCAGCTCTTGCCATTGCCGCCCCACCATTGACAAGAACGGTCGGCGATGGTGGGGGAATGGTCGATGGGGGTTGCTAGGCCCTGGTTAGGGCCTGGCAATCCTCGCCTAGTTCTGGGGTAGGGCCGCCACAAGTAGGGGTTGGTTGCCACGGGCGGCCTTCCCAGCGATGGTGGGGCAGCGACGGTTTCAACTATCCCTTTTTTCATTTATTTAAATTTAGCTTACTTTTTAATTAAATTTAAGTAAAATGTGTATAAAAACATATTTGGACAAAAATGACGTCATTTTAACCTTATTTTTCGTGTTTTAACCACGTCATCGCTACGTAGGATAGAGAAAACATAAAAAAAAAGTAATGTCAGCATTTTCCGTTAGTCAAGTTGGACGGAGTTAGCGGAATGACTTTATTGTAACAATTTGATAAATTTTATAATTTGATTGCACTTTTTACAAGTTTTAAGATTTAATTGTACTTTCGCGAAAATTTTAGAACTTTCAGAGCACTCGTCTCTAAAATAAAAAATAAAAAATTTCAAAATATGTAACATAAATTGACTTGAGCAAAACATAAGATGGGAGTCATTGCACCATAAGATGAGAGACGGATGAGGCTTGAGAGGCAGAGCATTGTTGCAAACGAGCATAGGTCGTCGGCTAACCCTAAATTGTCTTGATACTTGACCTTCTTTCGTGCTTTCTTTCCATTTTCTCACTTTTATTTTGCAATTTGTGTCTATCAACGCCTCAATATTTGTTTGTTTATTCCTGTGTAATTTTCCTTTTAGGGCGTGCGTGATAACTATTCTGTTTTTTTGTTTTTCTATTTTTCCGTTCCCGAGAACATGTTTGGAATAGAAATCCATTTGATAACGCAATTTCATTTTTTTTATTTTTGGAACAAGTTTTTAGTCCAGAAATAAGTTTGAAACAGAAATGAGAAGTTAAAATTTGATATTTTTCTATTTTTGGAACAAAAAGAGAAATAAAAACTCTTCTCATTGCTCGCCCTTGTCTCCTGTTGTCGGCTGGCCGCCATCACCCACTGCGGCCGCCGGCCGTTGATGAATGGAAAATAGCGTAAGAGAGGGAAATTTTGTATCGTTATCAAACGAATTCATGTTTTGAGAAGAGAAATTCTGTATTATTATCAAACGCTTATCTCTATTTAGACATTTGTCCATGGAATAGGAAAAGAAAAAAATATTTTTGGAACATAATAGTTATTATTCGAGTCCTTAACTTTTCATCGCTCTGTTTTTAGGATTAGATGATCGGCTTTGGCTCTTTGTTCAGCCTGGTGACCGAGGCGGCAAATGAAATGGATTTCCTATCTAAGGGCGAAAGGTAAAATTTTCTTAAGCCCAACAACGAGGCCATTTCATCTTCCTGCTTAAAGCGTCAAAATTTTTCTTGTAAAAGAATCCGGTTCTTCGATAACCCGTTCACGTACCGGTTCTCCAGTTTCTGGCCACCGATTCTACTTTTTCTTGGAACTGGGAACTTAATTGGTAACTGCGGGAACCTAGAATTTGACTAGATCCTATAGTCGGTTCGATCCAATTTCTGGTTCTACCCTCAATCCATGCTCACCTCTAAGTCCACCTATGATCTTGGTTTTAGGGATAACAGAGTAACTTTCTTACCGAAAAAAAATAAAATCTGAATATGGATAAAATTATTATTTTTTGTTTATTGTTATCCTTTTCAGATTATTATTATTAAACGATTATTTCATGTTAATGCAGATTTATAAAATAATAAACTAGCTCGCGTCTATTAAGGCAGGAGGTATGCCCTTTTTTACGGCACGACCTGGCGCCACGAGCGCCTGATTATCCAGAGGGCCATTTTCGTCATTTCCCGGCGCCGGACGAAATGAAAAGTTACCGAGGGGAGAAGGAAATGCGGAGAGCGACTTCAGTGACGACGGTCATCCATGGCGTGAGAGAGACGGTGGGAGGCGTTTCTTTCTCCTCTTGCAGTGGAGACGACGCTGCTCTTTGCTTCTCCTTCGCGGCTTCCGCCCTCCACCATAATCGGAGCTCTCGTCTCTCCCGGTACGGGTTTCTCTCGCTCCTTTCCGTGGTCTTTTTCGCGAGTAATTTAGCCGGAGAATCGGAACTACTTGGCCCTCTACGATGTCGATGCGGTATGGCGTTGTGTTTGTCGCTTGATCGCTGTTTTTCTTGCTCCTTCGATCGTAAAGTTCGTTCCTTTGGCGCAGATTTCTTGTGGGTATTGATCGGTTGGCCCCCTGATCATCTGTCTAGCAAGAACGATGAGTAATTGGCCCGGAAATGGGGGCTTGTGCCCGGCGTCGTCGAATTTATCGGCGTTCGCGCAGCCTTTTACGATCCCCCAGTTCGACCAATATCCCAATTCGATTCCTTTTTATGTGGATTCCGTCCAGCCGCCGTTTGATCAAGGACCCGTGAATTCTTCGCGCAACACTTGGGCGAATCCGTGCCCTCCTAGTGCAAGAACCGATTGGTTTCCCGCATCGAAACCGGAGTTCGATGTCGGGACTTATTTAAACGCCTACGGTTACTCGGGTTCGGAGACTGTTGATGGAGAAAATACCCCTTTACCTTCGTGGAACTCTGTTGATGTTGGATTGAATGATAAGTTTGGTCGATGTTCTGATGGCTCGAGGAGTACCGTCATGGAAAGTGATGCGTTTTACCCCTTCAATGTGTCGTCTGGGGTGGTTCAGGGTGCTCCCTCTGGGCTGGCTGCTCAGCGCGATTATGGCAGGATATCTTCTCCCTTTGATGCAAATTTGGATAAGTTGCCTTGTGATGATCAAAGCAAAAGTGTGAGTTTGGGAGATACAGTTGAATCAAGTGGCCCTTGGAACGAGCAGGCACTGAGATACCATGGTAAAAGTGAGGATTTAGGTGGGAGTTACTGCTTGAAGGAGCCAATTGCAGCTCCATTAATGACTGAAACTTGTACAAATGGAGGTATACTTATTCTCATTCGTCTCTACTTTTTCTGATAATAATGTAATAATGTTGTTGTACACGGTTTTTCATGTACTAATCTCTTTCGTGCATGCTGTTCATATGCTGACACACTTAACGGTCAATAGTGTTTTTCTTGTGCTCTGTTTTCAATTGAATTAGTTATGTGAACAGACTATGATTACTAATGGAAGCTCAAATGAAGATAAGAAAGCAGAGAGATCTGATTATATGTTCCTTCCTCCTTGTGTTCTCGAGGACTTCATTATACATCTAATGGCTTGAGTACACGTGCAGGAGCTTCTCATAGTGATGGTCTTTCGAGTTGGGAAAAGCATGGTGGATTTCTAAGCAGAAAACATGTAGATGGTAGGCGATTTCTTGCTTGCGCAGCCAAGATTATGCTTATTCGGTCTCTGACATCATCCTTTTATGTTTTTGTCATCCAGCATCATCAAGCTTGGATTTGCCTGGAATGTTTCATGAAACATATCCTCAGGCAGCAATGCCAGAGTTATCTTCGAATCTTGGGAAGAAACAGTGGCCATATGCTCATATAGATGAAAATGTTGTGTCAAATCATGTTGCAAGTGCGAATGGTGGGAATATGATTTTGGGATCTTTCTCTGCCCCCCAGATGGGACCTCCAGCTGATGGATTTGTCTCGGGAACCGGTGAAGTTTCATTAGGAGGTCAAAAGAAGGGTATGCACAGTGCTAATGAGTACTATGCTGGCATTATGCTATCCAGTGTAAATGAGCCTCAGTACCTGCAAGCTTCTGGTAGTAAATTACTGTTTGATGGCACCGATCTCGGGAAAGGTGTGCCACAGCGTGGTTTATTCGTGAATGGTGGTAAGTCTGTAGCGAAATCTATGCCTGCACCCTCAATGGGATTCCCAATTGATGGTTTTAGGTCTCAAACTGGTGAAGTTTCTATTGGAGATCACAAGAATGGTAGAGATTGTGCTAATGAGCTCTATGCTGGCACTATGCTGTCTAATGTGAACGAGCCTTGGTCTGTAAAAGCTTTTGGAAGCAAGTCACAGCTTGATAGCACGAGTCTTGGGAAAAATGTGCTACAGCATGGTTCTAGTGTGTATGATGGGGACTCTGTTGCCAAATTGTTGCCTGCAACCACAATGGGATTCCCAATTGATGATTTTAGCCCTCAAACTGGTGAGGTTCCTATTGGAGATCACAAGAATAGTGCTAATGAGCTCTATGCTCGCATGATATTGTCTAATGTAAATGAGCCTCAGTCCATGCAAGCTTTTGGAAGCAAGTCACGGCTTGATGGTGCCAGTCTTGGGAAAATTGTGTCACAGCATGATTCTATCGTGAATGATGGGAACTGTGCTGTGAAACCTTTGCTTGCGCACACTGTGGGATCCCCAGTTGATGGCTTTAGCTCTCGAGCTGGTGAAGTTTCTTCAGGAGATCACAAGGATGGTAGAGGCTGCACTAATGAGTGCTATGCTAGGATTCTTCTATCTAGTGTAAACAAGCCTCCATTCGTGGGAGTACGTGGAAGTGAATCACAGTTTGATAGTGCAGATCTTGGGATCCAACTAGGGAGAAGGGATTTTACCTTTGAGGAACCATACCATCTCGAAGATGAAGACCGATCAAATAGCAAATGTGATTCGAAAGATGCATTTCATCATTTAGCTGGGGCAAATTTGGAATGTGAAGATCCTTTGACGTCGGATCAATTCAATTTAGCACTGGAGCATCATCGTACTCTGCTGTATGCTGAAAAGCACACTGGTGCCAATTCTGGAACCGGAAATCCTCATGTAACGTTAGACAGATTTAGTTTGCCATCGAAGGGAAATCATGCCTTGAATTCTGCTGGGAGCCCTTCTGTGGGTTTACTTCAGTTTGAACATGTCGTGGACTCTCCTTGCTGGAAAAAAGCAGTTGCACACTCAAAGCACAGGGAGGAACCTGAACGAAGCGATTGTGATCTGCTACAGGACCTTCGAATCTTTGGCAATACCTTATATCCTACTAAGGTCTCTTCTGATAAACCAAGCGCAGGAAAAGTACTCTACAAAGGTGGATGTAGTAACAGAGCTTCAGTGTCACCCTCAGTGCTGCATGCCTTTGTTAATCCATCAGGCAGAGAGGGAAGATCCAATGATAGTGAGGATGTTTGCTTGAGTGATTCAAAACAGGTTCCGTTTTCTAATGATGTCGGGGAATCTGCTGGACATTGCATTACGTGCCAAGAATCAATCGGTGATTCTAGCGCTAAACTTTCTCATCCCACACAGCAGAGTTCAGGAGAAGGCGATGTGACCTCTGACAAAGGGCACACGCCCACCCATCATGTCTCTGATACAAATGAAAATGATTCTTTCAAAATGGATCCACCTCAAGGGTTGCTTCTTTCTATGAAGCATGTGTTGGAATCAACCAATGCAGTAGATAATTCTCCTGGACTTGCCCAATGGGATAGGGGACCAGTAATACCAATGGTAGATGGACAGATGCTTGTTTCAACTTTGCATAATCTTTCAGAGTTACTTCTCCATTCATGTTTAAGTGGTGCTTGCGACTTGAAGGAAAGAGACACTGATGTCATTCAAAAGGTGATTGATAATCTTTGTGCATGTTCATCGAAGAATGTTGAGCAGATGACTACACAGCCCAAAATACATAATTCTGAGGAACCCATGTACAAGAGTTTTGAAGCATCACCTGATCTTGACATGGTAATCTTGTTGATCTCACTACTTCCTTTTCAATTTCCTACCTAACATTAGTTGATGCTAATATTGCTAGAGCATGAAAAGACACTCTTTAACGGCAAAATGTGGATGGTGATAATCTCAAAGTGGATGACAACTAACTTGCCAATGAGGATAATTTAGCCTTTTTGAACTTTAGGTGATAATCTTCTCGTGAATCTAGAAATTATATCTCGAAGCATTTGGTATCCCTTTGCTAGTTCGTTTTCATGTTTATATGTAATGAGGTGACGATCTTTTGGCTTTCAGTCACCAAGTAATAGCCGTTGAGGCAATTGAAAGCATTCTGAATAATTGGGACATGGGAAATTCGAATGCATGTTTTCACCCGCACGTTGTGCTGCACCATATTCTAGAAGGGCCTATAACTATGAAGAGATTTGTGGCACAGGCCTATTTACTACCTTATCTGAGTATATTGTCAAGATAGATCTAACATGACGAAGACACTTCGAGTTTTATTCAAGAATCAGATAGACAATGGAAAAGGAAGACGATGACACAGTAAAGTGATGGCTTTATCTGTAGAGTATGGGCACCATCTCCTTTTTCCACCTGCTAGATTAAACGGCACTAATAACTAAAATGTTGTGGCAGTTAAATATGCATGTTGTGATGTTAGAAGTGAACTACACCTACATGTTGATTCTTAATACGAATTGAAGCTACCTTTGGCAGGATATCATCTACAATTGCTAGTCCATTTTTAACACGCTTCTTTGATCTGGTTTATTGATTTATTTTTGCTTCTGCCTATTCATGAATATCTAGTTTTGAGTTAGAGCATTCTAGATTGGTTGTTTTCTGCTGAAAAAGGATAACTGGGTTTTTTTCCCACAGAGTGCTAGTACAAATATGCCTCCTCTTGCCAGTGCATTTTCAGTAAATATTCAGGGTCAGATTGACAATCACTGTGCCTTTGACAAGCAGAGGCAAGATACTGGGTTTGATAATGAGGTTGAAAGTTCTTCTGAACTTTCCTCCTCTAGGGGTAATGCCCTGATAAACAAAGACGATGCCATGACCCAGGTATTTCTTTTAATACTCTGTAACCCCCTTCCATGGAAAGGTTGGAACTATAAGCTAGTGGATCAATAGAAACTGAGTAAATCTGTTGTGGATAACTTTGCAGGCTATCAAGAAGATTCTCAGTGAGAATTTTCAGGTTGAGGATGATTCACAGCCACAAATACGCTTATTTAAGAACTTGTGGCTTGAGGCAGAGGCTACTCTATGTTCCATGAATTACAAGGCTCGCTTCAATCGCATGAGGATTGAGATGGATAGTTCCAGGTCCAATGAACTGGAAGGTTGGGACTTAAGTCGTGAACATATCTATCTTGCATGACCAATCAGATTCTTTTATAACCTTCTCATAATTAACGGTTCTTTATTGCAGATACACTTGGAAATAATTTGGATGTGGAGAACTTATCAGATATTGGAGTTGCTATTCAATCAAACGAAGATGATAAATTGTTGGCTGGGACAAGGAGCCATGAAAAGCCTGAGAAGCTGCATGCCTCTGTTCAGAGTCCGACTGTGGTCAGCACTATTGGCAGCATGATCGATTCTACCACCAACCTTTTAGCTCAAAGTTGCTGGCCTCATAACTTAAGTACTAAAAATACTCCAAATGTGGAGGAACAAGGGCCTCTGAAAGTGTCTCCTGATCTCAGCAGGACTGCAGAATTGACAGCCGGAGCATCCAAAGAGAATGGTAGCCTTGCATCTGAAATCTCTCTGAATTCTCCTGTAACAGGTGCAATCTGCTGCACTGACGACGTAGAGGCTTCTGTTATGACCAGATTGAAAATCCTGAAACAATGGGACGAGAGCTTAAGTTCTGAAAATCAGACACAGATTCCTCCAGATTCAGTTGATCTCGGGGTCGCACTTAATGAACCAGTTGCTAGAGAAAAATTGACCGAGGAAAACACGACCCTTTCTGGTGGCAAGTTGAAAATGGAGTCACGCGGTGGTGTTGGAGATAGTCAAATACTCCATTCTCGAAGGAAAGATGAGCTCAAAACCCCGCTCTCTGCAGGTTGGCAGGACTGCTCATCAGACTGGGAGTATGTGCTGAAAGAGGAGATTACTGGCAGAGATATCGAACCTTGACTGAAGGAGTTGAGTGTTCCTCAGATGTGAGTGATCACCTCATGATTTACTGGATCTGTATCTCCTGTCTATGTTATGTAGAACACTCTGGTGAACCCGTGAATTGCTCTTATGGAGCTGGTCTCCGAAACTTGTATATATCTTTCGGAATGCTCTGTCGTACTTCAAGCTAAATAAGACAAGTTGCGCTTGCATGTGTTGTGCTTCTTCTGAAGCTAAGTAAGACAAGTTGCATTTGCGTGCTTTATTCACATCAAATAAGCTCAGCTTCCAACTGAGCTTCGTTAAGCATGCTCAAGCGTCATGTCCACCCAACAGCATATTTAAATTTGTGCAAGAGCGAGCTTGGCTCATTCACGGCTAAAGACGGTTGACGACTCGGAAACCAGAACTACTTGCATTGGGGTCAACGGCCAAAGACGCTTGTAAGACTAATTTGTTATTTTCCCACATTTTTGCTTGATTGATAAACACGTTTTTTCATCCATTAATTATTTGATAAGGTAGGAGAAACCAATACTTTGTTATTATTATCGCCTTATGTGAATGTGGAGAATGACGAAACGAGCCCTGCAATTGCCTGCCGAAGCGAGAAGCCAAGTTTATGATTAGTACTTAGACCTTGACCATTCTCGACCAAGTTCAGTCCACAGTGAAGAAGCAAATCACAGTGCAAACAAAACCCAAGCCGTTTATCGTGGTTTCAGTTTCGAGTTCGGTTTGAATCGCCTGAAGCAATTAAGTTTTCACCTGTTAGGCTATTTGCGACTGGAAAGTGAGACGCATGTGATCAATGGCTACTCAATAACGTAGACTAGTCACTATATATCTTTCAGAGAAGCTGAAAAAGGAGATTTGGTACAGCCATGTTTACAATATTCGAGTGAATTGTTGACAAAACGCCCTTGTTTTAATTTCTCTTCTACGAGTTCAAGAATAAAGGGGCCGATACAGAAACCGAATACATGCTGCAATAATTCAACTTAATAACCTAAACAATTCTCAAAGCTCATCACCAAAAAAAGCCAGACAACAAACCCTGATAGACCCTCTTTAGGTAGTAAGCTCCATGATAGCACCAACAATATCCCCATTGTGTGTCTTGAGAGCCTTCACGGCCTTGCTCCTCGAAACTCCAGCCTGGGTCATCACCAAGTCAATGTCACGAGGCTCAACCCCATTCTCGTCGATCTCTTCCTCTTCTTCATCAGCCTGTGCTGCTGAGGCTGTGGCTGAAGTGTCGGTCCTGCCCATCACAGATCCCATGTCGGGTATCCTGAACTGCTGGGCAGCTTGTGTCTGCAGTTGTGAGCTCAAGTCTTCAATCTTCGCCTCCCCAAATATGACATAAGTCTCAGAGTGAGGGCTCTTGAAGACATCGGGCTTTGAGATGAAGAATAGGACCTGAAACACCAGGAATTTCTTAATAACATGCCATTGTTTATGTAAGCAAAACAATTTCAACTATAGCGAACTAAGACACTCCATTTTTTCAGGTCAGCTATAAGTGGATCTTCCATAGCCACCGGACACCATTTAGTGCCATCTATCAATGTGACCCACACAATTCAGATTTGCTCTAGTTTTTGCTAAATTATATAAAGGATGAAGTATCAAATGCATGACAGAGAATTGAAAGGAAAAGTACTCACGTTCTTAGTTCTTTTGATTGTGACCCTGCTTACACCAGTTACAGGTTTCATGCCCAGCTTCAACATTGCCTTCCGACTCTTCTTCTCACTTCTGCTCTGCTTCGAACCCCCATTTGCACCTGCACATTCATGTTGTTTGGATTCTTAAATCCCAAAGCAGCAGCTGACAAAATCAAATAGAAATTTGCATTTGTGGGAATTTTCAAGAAGCTTCAGTAAAACAATCCTACATGGCTCAAGCAGACTGCAAGTATATGCATTGCAGAGACCCAAAACTGCACCAATAAACTTGAGCCAAAACATAAAATCCAATTATACTCCACACAAACAACTTCCTGATTCACATACTAAACCCAAAGGGAACCAGCCTTCAGCGAACATAAAAGGAATTTAAGACTTGTGTTTGTATGTTTGCATCCAGTGAGCTAATTAAACCAATCCAAAAGCAAAAGTTTCATATCATGAAATCTCTATGTGGTTTACTGAGTTGATTTCTAACTAAAACAGAAACCAAAGAACTGTCTTTCTATGGTCTCTATCAACGTGATCACACACTAAAAGTACAAATTAGCAAATCAAACAGGCCCTCGCCACACCCAACACTCTATCCCACAAATAAAAGTAGCACACATCTGTATCTTCAGTTAAACAGACAAACTTAGTATCACAATCATTGCTCTCTGTTGAAAATGCAAAAATTGAAACATTCGCAACAGCGACACCCCTTTTAGAGATGAAAGAATGGCTGGGATTATCCTACACCTACAATGATTTCCTTGGACAGAGCACTTGCATTGCTCCACCTAAACTAGAGTAGGCCAGTAGGATTCAAGAACTTCATCTGAAAAATCAACTTTCGCAATACGACTTCAACAAACACTGAACACACTCCAAAGGTCACACCTCAGAATTCTCCCGAGCCATCCCATTTGGCGAAAAACAATCCCTCCCGATTCAAAACAATCCTCCTCAAACACATGAACAAACTCCATTCCCAATGAAAAATAGCGACCGCCCGTATACGAATCAGCAAACTTTCAAACAGCTACAAAACCAAAACCGAGCAAAATCACACAAACACCTCCAAAAAGTAAAGACCAAATGAATTAACAAAAAAAGACCCACCTTGAGCCCCATCTTCCTTATCATCGTCGTCGTCGTCGTCATCCTCATCGTCGTCCTCCTCGTCCTTGTCGTCGTCCTTCACGTCCTCGACAATGGGTTCGTCGTTCTGAAACCAAAAAACGAACTTGAACGACCGGAACCCAACCCACCACCCCCCTCCGCCCCCCGAACGTTCACACACCCAGCAGACGGGAAAAAGCTTGCGAATTTGAAGTACCTGAGGCTTCTTCTCGGGCTCGGGGACCTGCTCGGTCTCGGGTCCGGCGGGTTCGACGACCGGAGCCGGTGACATTTTCACCGTGCGGGGAGGACTGCGAGTTCGAGAGAGAGAGACCAGAGAGCTGAAAGAGAAGGTGAAGCGATAGGGTTATGGACTGTTACGAGATTTACTTGTTCCAGAGTTCTGTCCGTGTGCGCGGTCCCGGATAAGGGTTTTGCTTCAACCGGGTCGGGTCGGGTCGGGTCGGGTCGGCCCTCCTATGAACATTTCTGCCCACATCAATTTTTTTTTGCAAATTCCGATTTATTAATTAAGAATTCGATACCATTAGACTTGGTCAGATGTATAACAAGATTCGTCCACTAAATTGCCTAATTCTAACTTTCATTTTTCTCCCTCTTTTTTGTGATGACGTGGAATTTCAATTCAGGTGGATACCACTAGAATGCCCTTGTTGACGATCCTTTACTCCGACAGTATCTAGGGTTCTCGAACGATGTGATATCTTATACAAACGATGATTTTATGAGCCATCATATTGAACTCGTATATTTAGTGTCACATGAGCCCATGCTCGGTGAACAGTCCAACTATTATATTTCCCAATTAATATTGCGCTCAATGGAACTTGTGTCGCTTGCCAAATTCAAATGAATAACGATTCATTTTTTATCGACGGACTCATCTCCTGATGTTCAATTCGATCTGATAAACGTGTGTTTGTTAATTGTCTATTTTGTAACGCAAGATGTGTTCGTGATACACACGTCGCAATTTGTTTTTTAAATTAATTCTCGGTCTCGAATTTCGCCATACCTCGTTATATTCTATTCATTGCATTTTGTGCGTTTGTATTAATCACTACAGGCTCAAAGCGAAACCACATCACTACTTTCAAGAGAGTTAGTAACACTGAAGGTATGGTAAGCAAATAACGGTTCAAACCGTTAAGCCGAATCAAACCAAACCATTTTCAATAAAAATGGTTCCCAAGCTGAACTAAACCCGTCATTTGTGATTTAATTTGGTTTTCAAGAAAAGTAAAACCAAATCGAACCGCGAAACTGTATTGTATAGCCACTTAATTTTTCTTATCATTTATAGATGAGCTAGCACTTTTTTTTAAGAAGAATTGATATTCATTGTGAATTTATGAATTGTTGTAAGTGTAGACTTTGGTTTGCTTCATGGAATGAATGCATCTTCTGAACTAGTCAGTGAGTTTAACCTCATGATAGGACCAAAAAAATACCCGAAGAGAAAAAGATGAAAGAAGAAACAAACGGTTTATTTCGGTTTCCAGATTGAATGAAATCGCAAATATGGTTCGACCTGGTTTGGTTCCTGACTACATCAAATTTTTGGTCTGGTTTCAATTTCTCTTTTCTCAAATGGTACATGAGCGTTTTGATTTGGTTTGAGCACCAGACCGCACCAAACATACCGTGTTCACTTGTAATCGAGAGCATATCAATGGCGACGCATTATTTCGATGAATCATTTCTTCAGACAGACAGAAGATCATGTAAACTATAATTTAACACAGGCTTCAAAAGGAACTAGGAAGCAAAAAATACCTTAAACACAGAAGCAGAATTTGCAGGTTGAGAGCACAAAATCACTATGCCATCTTGACAGAATGATATGAAATTCTCTAAGCACACAGTTTCTCAGCTCTCCCTATGGATATTTGCACTCTGGTTAACATTTAGGCATGGCAAATAGACCAGTCCCGGACGGGCACGGCACGGGCCGTTGGACCAAATATAACAGCATGTGACCAGCTTCCCTGATCTCCATTTAGCTTACCTGAAGCGACTCGCAAATTCAAGTGTCAAACTCATGCATGTCCACTTTCAAAAATCTGTGAGCAAACAATGAATTTTAACTAAAATAACGATTTTTGATCCCACCAAATTACGAAATTGGACCTTCTGCTTCAAAACGGATCAAATGACTGTACAATCAAGTTCCTTGATTCCAAAAGCTGTCCTATACAAATTACCCTTTCATGAACTCGAGTCAATGGCCGAAACCAAGCGCAAAAATAGGGACATGATCAGCTGATCAACAAGTGCAAGAGCATGAATTGATCATCAGAAAAGGAAAGAGCACAATGCTGCTCACTGTATGCCGGCGAGATGCTATCAAGTATCCACTACTTTCACCACGAACTAGCAAGAAAACAGACAATATGAAGAGTCCTTCAATTGCCATTTATCCTTCCCTCTTTTTCCTCGATTTCTTCTGCCTCTTTGACTTCCACCTTTGGTCGTGCTCTGTGGCATCACAATGGCCTTTATTGGACCACTTCTTACAGGGGGCAGCTGAATCGCATACATAGCAGTAGCACTGCATGAAACAGAAGCAAAAATGAACAAAGTTAGGATCGGTTCCATAGTTCAATTACAAGTACAAATGTTGAGAGCTAATATTGAGAACAATCATCTGGAAGCGAGATTCATGTGTGGTCAGTACCAGCTCGCAGTATCTTTCATGGGGCGTAGTTGCAAAGGGAAATTTCTGACAAAGATGCCTTGAGTGCGGGAAGTCTCTACAAGCCACCTGTCCATAATCATCAGTAGCAACTAGCAATCGAAATGCTTAAATCATTATCAACTGAGAAAAGAAATAGTCATACAAAACCTGCTCCAAAAGATACTTGCACAAAATTTCAGGGAACCAAATAATACACAATGCAACATCTGACTAAGCTAGTAAAAGTGAGATAAGAGCATCATCATAAGCCGCAACTAGAAAATTGTGATTGCTTCCCTGACACTATAGACTTGAAGTCCAGTCCACACGATCAATTAAATCTGTTCTCGACTTTCAGTAATAGGGATAACAACTACATATGAGGATAGCACTCCATTCTCAAGCATAAAAAAGAAAGACACATACCACGACCCTCTCCGACGAGTTGAACTTTTGAAATAGTCAATTATGCAGTCAACTCGAAATGGTATCCGAGTCAAGAGCCCATATAAATTTCTCAAAATCTTCTTTCAGTTACCTCTCCCTTCTCTTTGTGCTATCGGTTTCAACTAGTCACCCGGTAATCCCCAATTCTGACACATTTGACAGGCTCTAACAATCCTAAGTACACCAAACACAGCTAATAAGCAGCTGCAGTTAAATTATACAGTGAATTAATCATGTCAAGTACTACTCTACCCAAGTATTTCCATGACTAGCTGAGTATATTCCCAACGATTCTCCAACATACGTTATTCTTATCAGTTCTCGCCCACAAGCGAAACAGGACAAACATGGAGACCATCTTCGTCGAAACGTTAAACCCACGAGAACATAGAGACAACCCACAGATTCACTCGGCAGCCAAACAGAGCACACAGAGAAAACCACAGTCAAGCACGAAAACAAAGCAAGCACACAGAAAAAGGAGCAGCTCGCGACAAGAGCACGAACTTGCCTGTCCTTTCTCAGCGATGACGACGAGGTCCTTGGACCCATCGTCGCCACCAGCCTCGGCCATCGCCACGGAGAGCCTGGAGATGCGGTCGAACGGGTCGAAACCCAGGATGAAGCAGTCCTCGGTCTCTTCGAAACGCTTGACGTCTTCGTCCCTCGTCACGCAGAGGACGTGCCTGATCGGGCTCGGGTCCTCGTAGCCGGAGGTCGCCGACAACGGCGAGCACTTCGCCATGGTGTGGGGAAGGGTTCCTCTTCCTGCGATGCGAGTAGGGTTTGGAGGGCGAAATGCAAGATCGCTGAATGATGGAGAGAGAAAAGAGAGGGAGTGGGATTTCGAACACTGGGGAGAGGAGATACGGTGACCGTTTGGCTCCACCACGCGAGTACGGATCCCAAGATATATTTTCAAATGCTCATGCCATAAAAAAAACACCTCGAACCGGTGTACTCGTATTATATCTACCCAGATTAATTTTTGTGTCACCAAAACTCTCAAATTTGAATATTTGTGTCGCATTTATTCTAAATTAATTTTTGAGTCACAAAAAATTCTGACCGAATACACTTTGTGCCACATTTACTCAAAAATGATAAATCCGTATCACATTAACCTCAAATTGTGATAAATTTGAAATTTTTCGGGGGTAAACGAGATAGGTAAATTGATTTGAAGTAAATGTGACAAGGGTGTACCGATTTGAAATTTTTTGTGATGGGATAAATGTCGCACGCATTCACCGGTTTAAGTTAAATGCGGTATAGATGTACCGGTTCGGGAGTTTTTGTGACAAAAAAAAATTAGTTATGGGTAAACGTGATATTTGAGGTTTTTGGTAATATTAATTTTATTAAGGAGTGATGTTTAAGATGTTATTAGGAATGGGCACTGAGCAGTGCTGTCCGTACCATACAGACCGATATGTCTGGGCCTATCTCGAGGCTGACCTGTTATCCTTTTGCTTTCGAGCCATTGCCTGACCCAAGCTTGACATCTTTCCCCATAGCTTTGAGGTTGTGTCTCGATCTCCTACGTACGAAATCTAAGGGACTAGTTCCTATGGAGTGAAGAAGATTCACCTTGGTCTAGTTCCACGCCTTATGGCGATTGGACTTGGCCTTTCCATTGATTGAGCCCATGAAGCCAGGGCCTTTGATGCCCCCAGCGGTTAGTCGGCCGCCGACAGTCCGAGCTCCGACCAAGATTTTTCAAAAAAATTTCCTATAAAATAGAGGTCTCTCGCCTCTCATTTTCATCTTCATTCTTCTCTTACAAATTTTCACTCTTTCAAAAAAATTAAAAAATTTTGCACTTTCTGATGAACTCCCACTATGCATTCATGATTCCCTCGCCATTTTGATCTTACAATAGACCTCAACCGCTATCCAATCCATTTTCCAGATGGCGAGTCAATGCCTTTGGCTGATAGTGGCACTTTGATTCTTTTACGACCCTGGGATGCAGGAAACTCTCTATGTGCCCCCTCCACCAAAGAAAACACAAGAATTTCATGACTATAACGACGAGACGCAATAATCAGATGATTTTTCGAAAATGCAGGATAATAGTAGGGCGTCACCCACCTTGAGGCGACACTGACACCCCTCCCCTTGGCGAAATCCCTATACCCTGAATGATGTCTTGCAGACTTTGTGGCGACAAACGTCCACTGTTTGAAAGACATTCAAAATCGAGGTCCACCCCAATGGTAAGAAGAAGGATGTGCGCGCGATACATGGAAGCACTTATCCAGCCAATTTAGATGTGGGATGGGCCACCCGAGAAGGCACCAAGACAAACATAAGCACTAAAATACTTGAGCCTGGGGAAGCTCAACTAGTTCAATGGGTTGGTAAGCTCGCCATCGAGCAACCCCTTTCGGCTTCGCCGAAGACGTGAGGTTCTTTCTACTACGTGCAAGGCGGGCGACAACTGGATTTTAGGCCCATTCCGCGATCAATGAACACAAGGAATGGTTAATCTAACGTTCCCTTACCCTCCGAGCAGTGACATTAGCATATCAGATAGTCTTTTCTGTTTACTTAACAATGTGACTTTGAACAATCACATCCCTTGGACCTTGTCTGCAGTGTGCAATTACATTCTAAGATCTTATAACTTGACATGGGATGAATCTGAATTGCTTTATAAATATCCAAAGAGGCATATTTGATAATTAATTAAATTTCAAAAAATGCATGTTGGACTAAAATATTGACTCAATCATAGATGATGATTTTTTTAAGGCCTTGAATATGTAATTTTATGAAATTCTGGGGTATAGTGTAGTGTTGAGAAGTTCCTCAAGAATCCAGGTTCGATTGATCAAGTTGATCAAATTTAGTACAGACCTTCGTCAACGCTATATAAGAACCTTATTGCCTACATCATTATATATCACAACTTTGATGAAAAACCTATAAATATCTCATTGAATAACATCTTAGTTGAATGTTGTGAATTTACACAGCGATAACACATATATAGATTTTTTCCCCTTCTACAATTGGAATTGACTCGTAATTAAGTTCTTGATGGTTGCTCGATTGATGTCTATCGCTGCAACTCTATGAGGAAGCCATTTGAATCTACACGAAATGTAAAAGATGTGGGTGTGAGCTTAAAAATCCTGGGGGACCTAAGTTCTAATTGCCATTGCCAAATTCTTGCCACCTTCGCGTCTCCAGAGCCCACAACAATTTAGACCGTGAAAAGCTGAGTAAATGGACCATTTCCACTTCTTGCTCGAAGAGTTGGATTCATTAAACTAAAAGCTCGTCCAGAATATATAAAGACATAACCGGAATATTAGACTGGCTTTGCTATCTCTACATACTTATTACTTCGTCTAATTCATTTTGTGTCCAAGACTCGACCTGGTAGAGAGAAGTGGGGGTATTGATTGGCTCGTGTTCTGTGGACGGCACGTGAATAGTTTTGAGTTGGAACTTTTGTGTCTGAGAGAATCAAGATTAGTGTATAGAACAAAATGTCCTAGGATATTGTGGCCAAAATCTAGATTTCCAAGGGCAAATATATGGTCTGAGTAAAGTCTCAAAGTGTATTTGCTCAGTTGTCCCGGTCCCTCTCGCCTTTAACCGATATCAAGAATGTCGTGTTAGATGGCATGACGATATCTCGGACGCCCGTCGCTGGAGCAAAACCTTAGTGTAATGGTTACTCCAATAACGAGGGGTGTACATAAATCAAGAGACCAGAATTATAACCTATGGGTGCGTTTGTTTTATTGAAAAATTTATGATAAAAAAAATAATTTCCATGGCAATTATTTTCAAGGAAAATTGTTAGTTTTAATTTGTTTGGTTGTTTAGAGAAAATGATTTCCTTCTTGGCAAAAAGGAAAGTTGTTTTTCCATAATCTAAGCTTGTAGTTTTCAGTCTACGGAAAATATTTTCCATATCTCGTTATCCAAATACTGAAAGGTCGAAAAATAATTTCTCGAAAATGATTTTTTTTAAACAAACGGACCTTAAGTTTACATATTCTAAAGCACAAGATCTTATTTGTAGCGAGAATAGCCAAACGGTGTTACGTCAACGCATCGCATGATGTGATATTCCTATCCATCTCGTACATATGCTTACGGATTGACTAGGGAAGACGTTATCTCGACATCAACTGCTTGCCAGTCAGAGAATTTGAAGTAAAAAATAGTACAGAAATATATGAATATAACTCTATGTTCGATTGATTTGGTAAAGCCAAGATTCGAGACCATTTCCATTCCTTACTCGGAGGACGAGGATACCCGGTTGGAGGCGAACAGAGCCACCACTCGGCCACCTATGATTCCCACACTTGCCTATATAGAATGAAATGATTTCAACCGTTTAAGATAATATACTAAATGTGAGGATAGGGCACAACATGAGACGAAGGTTAGCTGCCACTCATGTCTATTTCCACCCTTTAGATGGCTATAGCACTACCTAATCTGTTGAGTGGACGAAAATAATCTCAAGAGAACTTAATAATCAACATCACAAATGGAATCGACGAATATCAAATGCGATATAAAAATTATCCTAGAGAATCAGTCTAATTATCTCTAACAGGTAGTCATGATTAGTGATAATCATTACTTTCTTAAACTTCGAAATAGTGTACTTCTCGCGTATCCTAGTACATAAATCAACAGTGGTTGTTGTATCCATAATGCAAGAATCACGTCACATGGATACTAATTGCCAAGTGGCATTGATAAACGAACACTAGACTTTCTTATCATGAAAAGGAACATTGTGACTAACCACCAATTGCCTTTGCACATGTTGACTCCACACTATTCTAGAGAGAGAGAGAGAGAGAGAGAGAGAGAGAGAGAGAGAGAGATTGGAGATTAATTGAATCTAACAGCTATAATTGCTAAGGCTAAGGAAATTTTTAGTGGATAGTTTGGTGTCACGTCCAGTGCGCAACCCCAAATCGAGCGGCGTTGGAATTCTGGAATATGATTAAATTAGTTTCCTACTTGTATCGTTTGGTATGTGGCAAGTCAGTAGCCCTCGAAGTGCTAGGGTCCTGGGGAGGGGCCCTTGATTTTACGATGTGACTAGGAGTGGGAATGAGATTGGTACGATGAGACGGTACGAAGGGTGTTGACTTGTTCATCACCTAATCAAAGTACATTTCTCTCCATCACAAGCATACACACTTCAAGATTAAGCAGGCGAGGCGTTATCACGACAGCTACCCCCTGCATTCCAGAGAATTTGAAGTAAAAAACAAGTGCAGAAATCTATGAATTTCACTCTATATTTCGTTGATTTGGTGAAGCCAGGAACTCGGGCCATTTTCATTTCTTCCTCGAAGTAGGAGGATACCAGGTTGGAGGCCAACATACCATTTCTCTTCGACAGAAAGCTTCTTCTGAGTTTCATAAATGTTTTCAGTTATATTTTTTAAGCATTTGTCTTTTGGTCTTTACATTTATTGAGGAGACTATAGGAGAAAAAAAACCACTCAGCCACCAATTATTCATGTGGGAAAAGTATCAAGAAAGTCTTAGATCGATTGAATTGATACTAATTCAGTCCTAAACCTTGTAATTGGACTAATTTAGTTTTTAATCTTTTGATGATGGCCGGCCAATTTTGACAGGAAATCGTTGATATGGATGCCGGTTTCCTACATAGCATAGCTGGCACTGACTTGATAATTTTTAAAATTTTCTGAATTTTCTATTACTTTTTTGTTTTTTTTTTGTTTTTCTTATTTTCATTGTTTTTTTTACAACTTTGGCTGGCAAGGGTGTTGGCCCCTCGCCCAGACCAGGTGAGGGTCGCCAGCCCTCGCTTGTGGCCAAAGAGGTCACCGGCCAGGGTTGAAAAAAAAAACAAAGAAAAGAAAAGAAAAGAAAGTGGATAACAAGTAATAAAAATTCATAAAAATTTTAAAAAAATTGAAAAAATTGTCCACATTAACGTTGGTCATGTCGCATAGGACGATCAGCGTCTATGTCAGCGATTTTCGGCCAAAATTGGCCACATAGACTACATTGACAAATCATCGAAAGGTTTAGGATAAAATAGGTAAAATTGAAAGGTTTATGACTGAATTAGTATAATGCAACAACTTTGAGACTTTTTTGGTGATTTTCCCGATTTATGCACTTGACAATATAGAATGAAGTGATTTCGACCTTCCAAATTACTTTATTTTATTGAGGTTAAGATAATATATTCAGCATAACATGAGAGTATGGTTCTGCACCACTCACGTCTCTTCCCAAGTTTGTCGATGAAAGTCTCAATACCAAATGCACATGACTTTACAAATATACACACACACACCATGGAATATCATAAATGGCCACATTTATTGAACTCTTGTGCCCAACCAAATATCCTTTGTCCACCACCAACTGGAAAAGCCCAAATTCTCCTCCTGCCTCCATCACTATATAACCTTCTTCAACCCTCCCAAATTTCAAAACACCTCCATTCTATCAAGGACATCGTCTCAAAAAGGGCAAAAAGAGGTCAGAGGTCGAGATGGGTTCGATATCGAGCGAGACCCGGGTGGCCCCGATCCAAGTCCCCGATGACGACGAAAACATTTCATTCGCCATGCAACTCGCTAGCTTGGCCGAGTTGCCCATGGTCCTCAAGACGGCTATTGAGCTCGACCTCCTCGAGATCATGGCCAAGGCCGGGCCCGGCGCACGCCTCTCTTCCCGTGAGATTGCATCTCAACTCCCGACCAAGAACCCAGATGCACCCACGATGCTCGATCGGATCTTGCGCCTCCTTGCGACCCACTCCATTGTCATGTGCACCCTGCACGAACTCCCCGACGGTCGACCTGAGAGGCTCTATGGGATCACTCCGGTTTGCAAGTTCTTGACCAAGAACGAGGATGGTGTTTCGGTCGCCCCTCTGTGTCTCATGAACCACGATAAAGTCCTCATGGAAAGCTGGTTAGTGATCACGTACATAGATATCCACCTGCATCATATTCTTCCATATTTTTGCACTACTAATCATTTGGCACCCACACCAAATAATTATAATCTAAGTTCTACAATGTGTTGAACTCAATCAATCACGATATAAAAGACACGCACAGCACATACTCTTTACATTTGATCGGTCGAGTGTTTAGTCTGTTAAAATTTTCTTTTGGTGACGTTTTCTTTTGTTAGATTGGGGGTGACAACAAATGGAACGGAAAAACCTCGTAGGATTGTTCATCAATAAATGTGACTACTCGCGGACGTTACACATTATTAGCATTATGCGACGCTAAATTAATTCTCTATAATCTGTTAATAGCATTGACTTCCATTGCTCGGCAGAAATAATTTCAAGATGATAATGGAGTACGTCACCTAAGAAATGCATGTTCATGATCAATTCAAAGAAGGTAAATTGACTCGGTAATATAATACCTTGATGTAAATCTTGAAATGTAATTAAGATGTCAAAATCCATAGCAAAATGATTTAGCCCGTGCTACGAGTATTGAATAGGAAAAGTGTTAAAAAGTTATAAATTTATTGCATTGGTATCAATTTAGTCCTAAACCACCTAATGCCAATTTAGTCTTTCCGGTTAATTTTAGTCGGATAATATTGACATGGACACCGACCGACCTACGTGGCATTGTTGGCGCTGACTTGGACAATTTTTAATACTTTTTTTTTACTTATTTATGTTTTTCTTTCTTTCCTTTCTTCTTCCTTTTGCCGGTCACCGGCCATAGGCAAAGGCCGGCCACTGGCCATGGCCGGGCGAGCTGTCCTCGCTTGGTGAGGGGAGCCCTTGATGGGGATCGCCCTCGCCTGGCTAGGCCTCGCCTATGGTGGGTCATGGCAACCCTCGCCCAGGCGCGGTCAACTTGCCTGGCGGTGCCACGTTGGTCGGCCGACATTTACGTCAGCAATATCTTGCCAAAATTAGCTGGAAGGATTGAATTGTCACTAGGTCAAAAGGTTTAGGATTAAATTGGCATAAATGCAATACGTTTATAACTTTTCCCGTATTGAATATGTTTCAGCTTCATATTATCGATCAATGATGCAATTATTAAGTGATCACTTACTCATAAAAGTTAAGTGTAACTTTGATCGATAATCATCACCAAATAGATTCATGGTCGAAGTTATACATACATGGTCGCGACCGACCTAACCCCTAAATTTGGTGTAAGTTAATTTAATCGGGCTATTAAAATAGGTGTCAACATACATCAAGAGAAAAAAAGCCGGATTGACGTAGATTTTGATTAAAATAATGCAGGTACCACTTGAAAGATGCAATTCTCGAAGGAGGAGTCCCGTTCAACAAGGCCTATGGAATGACGGCATTTGAATACCCCCGTACTGATCCGAGATTCAACAAACTATTCAACAAAGCCATGTCCGATGTTTCGACTATCATCATGAAGAAGGTCGTCGAGACGTACAAAGGCTTCGAGGGCCTCAAGTCGGTGGTCGACATTGGCGGCGGAACTGGCGCCGTGCTCAACATGATCGTCTCCAAGTACCCCTCCATCAAGGGCATCAACTTTGATTTGCCTCACGTTATCGCGAATGCTCCGTCCTGTCACGGTACTTATATGTTATCCTTCATGTTGAGTATATTGCATGCACGATTAAAACTTGAATCGCCATAGAGACATTAGATTATGATCGATGCGTGTGTGGTAATGTATAATTGAAAAGCTCATTTTCTATGCTAATCGATTTTGACTTCCTCGAATTAATGACTACAATGTTCGAGTTAGGCGTCGAGCATGTCGGAGGAGATATGTTCGTTAGCGTTCCTACAGGAGACGCAATTTTCATGAAGGTAAGTTCAACTTCAATTGCCACTATTATTTGCCAATTGCTTCGAATGTAAATGATAATAACTTCTTATTTCTAATTCGCCATGTTAAATGATGCGCTTGTGAAATGTAGTGGATATGTCATGACTGGAGCGATGAGCATTGCTTGAAGTTCTTGAAGAATTGCTACAACGCGCTCCCGGAAGACGGGAAGGTCATAGTGACCGATCGCATCCTTCCCGAACTCCCGGACACGAGCCTTGCGACCAAGGTAGCCTTTCATGCAGACCTAATCATGATGGTGCACAACCCTGGCGGGAAAGAGCGGACGGAGAAGGAGTTCGAGGCGTTGGCCAAGGCCGCGGGATTCAAGGGTTTCCGCATCGCGTGCATCGCCTACGATCACGTCATGGAATTCCTCAAGAATTAAGGGTGGATTAAGCTAATGGGACCGAACATGTAGACGTATTGGATGATGAAGGATAATATCAAGCTTCTTGTTTATTAGCAAGAGCATAATAAAATTGATAGACCGAGTGTCGATTGATTTTACATGATGATGTAATTGGAGAACGCAAAAGATGTTATGAACAATTCAGTTGCCGAATTGCAAGTTACGATCCTAAGTTATTGTTCGTGTCCATTATTAACGAATGCCTTCGCATACTGGTGTTATTCAATGAGACTAAAAGCTCATTATGCATGCCTTTAATATGCCCAAAATGAATGGGTGTACACTTGTGTTTAAAAGTTGCCAAGAAAGAATGACGTCTCTTGGCGTAACTTGCATGTGTGGAGCTTATCGGAAAAATGGTACGAGAAAGTGTTTGGGGCGTCTGTATGGCTGTTTTATGTGACCGATTAATCATATTGTCTACATGACCTGCATCTCATCTTGCGTGGCACTTATATTTTGAATCACCCACTTTATATTGGCTTGTTACACACCACGTGCTATTTTCACGTAATACATGGTGGGTAGAACCTTACAATCCGTTGCTAATCATGATTAGTGATAGAATTTCAAATTCAGAAATAAATTTAAGTGTATAATGGTTATTGTATTAAAATTCGAATTAGTATACATCTCCATAAGATACATAAAACAAAGGGTGAGTGCATATATATGCATATAACGTGTATTTCTCCATAACCCAATACCAACCGCATTGGCCGCATTAATACAAAACAAGCTCGATGGGCGCTTTCTCAAGTAACAGGGTCCGTAGACTACACGACAATAGAACATGTCGACGTTGGCTATTAGACGAGATGCAGAGACGGAAATGTTGAAAATTGACATTGAGAGAGGAATATTAGTAATTATTGAAAAAAAGATGATAAAAAAAATACGAGAATTGCACTCGGGTGTGCACTAGATGCAATGTCAAGATCGTCGCTCTGATACCATGATAAGAAATATGCTGAATAGGAAACTGTGGATTTTCTATATAGATTTTATTAGATAACTATTTAGGGTATTCAAATCAAGTACCATCAATCCAAATATGTACAATTGGGGATAAAAAGAACGCCCATATATATACACAATCACGAGAAATATCCTATATATTTCTAGAAAATATCCTAAATTTCTCTACGAGAGAGAGAGAGAGAGAGATTGGAGATTGGAGATTGATCAACTCTATATTGGACTGGTTTGGTAAAGCCAAGGATTGGGACCATTTTCATTTCTTAGTCGAAGTACGAGGATAACAGGTTGGAGGAGGACAGACAATCGTCTCCGACAAAAGCTTCTTAAAGTTAAATGGACCGTTTTCATTCATTATTAGATGGACCCTTTTCATTCAGTTCGGTCGTGAAACCTCGTCCAGTATTTCTCTATATGAAAAGAGAACCGGAATCTTAGGGAAGTATTTTCAGCAAGAGACAAAAGGGAAGTGGAAAAGGAGTAAAGACAGAAAAAGATTAGCATGACTTTGCTGTCTCTACATACTTTGTCCAAGCCGGTGCATGTGGATCCATGGATCTGGTAATGGTCGGCTCGGTTTGTGAAGACGGCCCACGAATAGTTTGAGTTGACACTTTCGTATCGGATTGCCAAATTATCAATCCCCACCAAATTCAACAAAAGCTTGGACTTTCCTCTTCCTCCATCTCCATAGACCCCTCTTAGACCCTCTCCGGATTTTCAAAACACCCCCATTCCATCAGGACCATCGGCTCGATCAGGAAAGGAAAAGAAAGAGGTGAGAGATCGAGATGGGTTCGAGGTCGAGCGAGGCCTGGATGGCTCCCACCCAAGTTCCCGATGACGACGGCGAAATCATTTCCTTTGCGATACAACTCACTGGCGCGGCTGAGCTGCCCATGGTCCTCAAGACGGCTCTCGAGCTCGGCCTCTTTGAGATCATGGCCAAGGCAGGGCCTGGCACGCGCCTCTCTCCCTCTGAGATCGCGTCTCAGCTCCCGACCCAGAACCCGGACGCGCCCACGATGCTCGATAGGATCTTGTGCTTCCTCGCAAGCTACTCCATTGTCACATGCACTGCGTGCGAACTCCCTGATGGGCGGGCCGAGAGGCTCTACGGGCTCGCTCCGGCTTGCAAGTTCTTCACCAAGAACGAGGATGGTGTTTCGATGGCCCCTTTGTGCCTCATGAACCACGATAAAGTCTTTGATGGAAAGCTGGTTAGTGATTTTAATTTTTCCGCCGTCTCATCAAATTTTGGAACGTGTAAACACTTGCATTATATTTGTCCCTGTTTTGGCACCACCAATCACTTGGCACTCACACCAAATAATTATAATCTTCGTTCTACAGTGTGCTAGACTCAATCACTCATGATATCGAGAATACATGCAACACACATACTCTTTCCACTTGATCGGTCGAGTCATTAGTCTACTAAACTTTTCTATGATGATGTTTTCTTTTGCTAGTTGTTTTGTTAGATTGGGGGTGATAACAAATGGAACGGGAAAAAACGTCGGACAATTGTTCATCAATAAATGTGACTAGTCACTGGGGAAAAGTGCCAAAGAAATCATAAATCTTTTGTATTAGTGCCAATTTAATCCTAAACCTTTTTTTGGTGCCAATTCAGTCCTAAACCTTTTGTATTGGTGCCTATTCAGTCCTAAACCTTTTTATGGTGCCAATTTAATCCTAAACTTTTTATATTTGTGCCAATTCAGTCCTAAATATTTTGTTTTCGTGTCAATTTAGTCCTTTTGGCCAATTTTGGCCGGATTTTGCTTACGTGGACGCCAATCGGCCAGTCAACGGCGCTGACGTGGATAACTTTAATAATATTTTAACATTTTTTTGAATTTTTTTTTCTTTTTTTCTTTTTTTTCCCCCTCCCCTTCCTCCTTCCTCTAGCCGGTAGCCGGACTGGTGACCGGCCAGAGGCCGGTGAGGCGGTCCGACAGGCTAGAGGCCAGAGGTCGGCGAGGTCGACCTCACCGGCCACGACCGAGGCTCGCCCTTGCCGGCCACTGGCGAGGGCGGCCTCGCGCTGGGCGAGGGTGAGCCTCACCAATGGCTTGCGAGGTATACCTCGCCAGTGGCCGGCGAGGGTGAGCCTCGCTGGTGTCGGCCTTTGGCCTCTGGCCGGTCGCCAGTCCGGTGACCGACCGGAGGAAGGAGGGAGGAGAGGGAAGAAAAAAAAAAGAAAAAAAGAAAGAAAAATAAATTTTCAAAAAAAAATTAAAATATTATTAAAGTTATCCACGTCAGCGTTGGTGACCGATCGCCGGCCGGTCGGCATCCACGTCAGCAAAATCCTGCGAAAATTGATCGGAAGGACTGAATTGGCATAAAAACAAAAGGTTTAGGATTGAATTGGCACAAATATAAAAAGTTTAGGACTGAATTGACACAGAAAAAAAGTTTAGGACTAAATTGGCACCAATGCAAAAGGTTTAGGACTGAATTGACACCAAAAAAAGGTTTAGGACTAAATTGGAACAAATCCAAAAGGTTTAGGACTTTTTTGGCATTTTTCCCCTAGTCACTGACATTACACTTAATTAGAAGAAAAAAAGCTGAATCGACCAAGAATTTTGACCAAAATAATGCAGGTACCACTTGAAAGATGCAGTTCTTGAAGGAGGAATCCCGTTGAACAAGGCCTACAGAATGACGGCATTTGAATACATCGGTAACGATCCGAGGTTCAACAAACTATTCAACAAAGGCATGTCCGATGTTTCGACGATGAGGATGCAAAGGCTTCGAGGGCCTCAAGTCGGTAGTTGATGTCGGCGGCAGAACTGGCGTTGTCCTCAACATGATTGTCTCCAAGTACCCCTCCATTAAGGGCATTAACTTTGATTTGCCTCACGTTGTCACCAATGCTCCTTCCTATCCCGGTACTTATATGTTATCCTCCAATCTCTCTATATCACTTCATGTTAATTATATCGCATGCGTGGTTAGAACTAGAATTGCCTTAAGAGACGACAGATTTTCGTTGATGCGTGTATGGTAATATATAGTTAAAAAGCTCATTTCTATGCTAATCGATTTTGACTTCATCGAATAAATGGCTACAATATTCGAGTTAGGCGTCGAGCATGTCGGAGGAGATATGTTCGTGAGTGTTCCTACAGGAGATGCAATTTTCATGAAGGTTTGTTCAGCTTATATTGCCACTCTCATTTGCCTATCACTTTGAATGTAAATGATAATAACTTCTTGCTTCTAATTCGCCACGTCAATTGATGCGGTTGTGACATGCAGTGGATATGTCACGATTGGAGCGATGAGCATTGCTTGAAGTTCTTGAAGAATTGCTACAACGTGCTCCCGGAAGACGGGAAGGTCATAGTGGCCGAGTGCATCCTTCCCGAACTCCCGGACACGAGCTTCACAACCAAGTTAGTAGCCCATGCAGACCTTATTATGATGGCACACAACCCGGGTGGGAAAGAGTGGACGGAGAAGGAGTTCGAGGCGTTGGCCAAGGCCACGGGATTCAAGCGCTTCTGCATCGCTTGCAGTGCCTTCAAGACTTACGTGATGGTTTTCCTCAAGAATGAACGTTTGATTGATCAAATTAAAAAAAAAGCTCGATTACCTTGATTAGGTTAACCTAAGATGTCAAGGCAAGGCAAGGAAGGGCGGCCAAGACTTGTAGGGACCAGCGGGGAGGAGTATGACTGCAAGAGCTATGGGTGACGACGGTTGTCGGGACCTTCCTAAAGGTGAATCACCCAAGGGAAAGCTAATAGATTGATAAGCCCAAAAACATAGCATGGGCTTTTTCAAACCCTAGCAATCACAACTTGATACTCAATTTAACAAACAATTTTCTTGCTTTTTGGAGTCGCTACTAATTAGTTTACAATTTTCTCCCAAATCCAATAAGGTATGGGAAAATACTTTACTTCTGCGAACTAGAGATTCAATAGATTCGAGGACTTGGTTATGCTAGATTAATCTAACGCTCTTCGGTACCTTTTCTCTTTATTTTCAAAAATATTCTGCAAGTAGTCTTAGTTGATTTTAAGCCTAAATCACTAATATGCAAGTGTGATCATGCAGGTGCGCAATCAATAATTTAACACTCAATAGTAAAAGCATTAAATAAATTGCTAGATTAGGGCAATAACTTAAACACCTCAAGCTAGCAAAGCCTAATCTTGTCAAGGTTAATTTCCAAATATCTGCAATGTGTTAATTAAGAATGCATGTCTAGCCAAAACATAATTTCTTAATGCTCATGTAATTCTTAATTATTACCCTTTTTAGGTGTTTTATTGTTTATAAAAATTAAAGTATATGCTATGCTAATCTAAATTTAATATGCCTAAATTATTTAACATGACCTAAATTTAATGATGGGCAGATATAATGCATTAAACTAACATGACATGCAATATGACTTATATGGCTCTAAACAATGCAATCACTAAATGACATGGAAATTATGACGTGACAACAATGATGACGTGGCAATGACGTTACAGTGACATGGCAATAACGACGAGGCAATGACGTGGCAATAACATGCAAATAATGATGCAACTAATTCTATGTGATGTATGGCTATCATTTTTGTGTGATTTTCTTTTAAAATTAAGGTAAGAAACTCCCTAAATACGTAATTACCTCATTCAAACTAGGAAATAATTTAGATTACATCCTATTCTTAATTGGATAATTTTTAATTTGCTACATATTTCCTAAGCATGCAATTCTAACTAGGAAACTAATCTATCTTAATTTCCTAATCAACTACTTAATAATTTATCCATAAATTTGATCGACAACGTAAAAAAAAGAACTAGATTTCTTAAAAATTTCTCTTTTTGACAAATTTTTTTTATATGGAATTAATATCTAACAATAAAAAAAACAGTGTCTTTAATATACGTGGAAAAATCTACAATAAACAAGAACTAAACATATAAAATTATTAATTTTGATAAGTAGATCCTACACATACATAAACATTTAAAAAAAAAGGAAAGTAGCGTGGATTAATCACGTATATACCAGAGAATATCATGAATGGCCAGATTTGTTAACCTCTTGAGCCCAACCAAATCCCCTAAGTCCACCACCTACTAGAAAAGCTCAGACTCTCCTCCTTCCTCCATCTCTATATAACCTTCTTCAACCCTCTCCAAAATTTCAAAACACCTCTATTCTATCAAGACGTCGTCTCAAAAAAGGGCAAAACGATGTCAGAGATCAAGAAGGGTGCGATATCGAGTGAGACCCCGGTGGCTCCGACCCAAGTCCCCACCGACGACGAATCCATTTTATTCGCCATGCAACTCGCTGGAGCGGTCCAGATGCCCATGGTCCTCAGGGCGGCTCTCGAGCTCGACCTCCTCGAGATCATAGCCAAGGCTGGGCCCGGAGCATGCCTCTCTCCCCGCGAGATCGCATCTCAACTCCCGACCGAGAACCCGGATGCGCCCACGATGCTCGATCGGATCCTGCGACTCCTCGCGACCAACTCCATCGTCACGTGCACCTTACGTGAACTCCCCGACGGGCGGGCCGAGAGGCTCTACGGGATCACTCCGGTTTGCAAGTTCTTGACCAAGAACGAGGATGGTGTTTCGATCGCCCCTCTGTGTCTTCTGAACCAGGATAAAGTCCTCGTTGAAAGCTGGTCAGCGATTTGCTTTTCCACCATCTCATCCATTTTGGAACGGACAGTGATATACACCTGCATCATATTCTTCCATATTTTTACACTACTAATCATTTGGCACCCGCTCTAAATAGTTATAATCTTCGCTCTCCGACGTCAATCACGATATTAAAAGCACGCACTGCACACAAACTCTTTACATTTGATGGGTCGAGTATTTAGTCTGCTAAGCTTTTCTTTTGATGATGTTTTTCTTTTGTGTTTTGTTAGATTGGGGGTGACAACAAATGGAACGTAAAAACCTCGTAGAATTGTTCATCAAGAAATGTGACTAGTCGCTGACATTACACATTGTTAGCATTATGCGACGCTAACTTAATTCTCTATAATCTGTTAATAGCGTTGAATTCCTTCGGTAGGCAGTACATCAAGATAATAACGTAGTACGTCACCTAAGAAATGCAGTTTCACGATCAATTCAAAGAAGGTAAATTGACTCGGTGTTATAATACCTTGACGTAGATCATGAAATAAATTTAGATGTCAAAATTCATAACAACATGATTTAGCCCGTGCTACGAGTAGTTTGATTATGTCTTGGCTTCGTCTCATAGATCAATGGTGGAATTTTTCACTTGCTCATAAAAGTCAAGTGTAACTTTGATCGATAATCATCACTTAATAGATTCAGGGTCGAAGTTATATATACGTCAAGAGAAAAAAAGCCGAATTGATTTAGAATTTTGACCAAAATGCAGGTACCACTTGAAGGATGCAGTTCTTGAAGGAGGAGTTCCGTTTAACAAGGCCTATGGAATGACGCATTTCGAATACCCCCCTACTGATCCGAGATTCAACAAACTATTCAACAAAGCCATGTCCGATGCTTCGAATATCATCATGAAGAAGGTCCTTGAGACGTACAAAGGCTTCGAGGGCCTCAAGTCGGTGGTTGACGTCGGTGGCGGAACTGGCTCCTTCCTCAACATGGTCGTCTCCAAGTACCCGTCCATTAAGGGCATCAACTTTGATTTGCCTCATGTTATCGCGAATGCTCCGTCCTATCCTGGTACTTATATGTTATCCTTCATTTCTAGTATACTGCATGCACGATTAAAGCTAAAATTGCCTTAGAGACATTAGATTAGTGCCGATGCGTCTGTGGTAATATATAATTGAAAAGCTCATTTCCTATGCTAATCAAGTTTGACTTCCTCGAATAAACAACTACGATCTTCGAGTTAGGCGTAGAGCATGTCGGAGGAGATATGTTCGTTAGCGTTCCTACAGGAGATGCAATTTTCATGAAGGTTAGTTCAACTTAAATTACCACTCTTATTTGCCAATTGCTTCGAATGTAAATGATAATAACTTCTTGTTTCTAATTCGCCATGTTAATTGATGCATTTACGACATGCAGTGGATATGTCATGATTGGAGCGATGAGCATTGCTTGAAGTTCTTGAAGAATTGCTACAACGCGCTCCCAGAAGGCGGGAAGGTCATAGTGGCCGACTGCCACCTTCCCGAACTCCCAGACACGAGCCTCGCGGCCAGGGTAGCCTGTCAAACCGACATGCTCATGATGGCGTACTACATGGGCGGGAAAGAGCGGACGGAGAAGGAGTTCAAGGCGTTGGCCAAGGCCGCGAGATTCAAGGGCTTCCGCGTCGCGTGCATCGCCTTCGATCACATCATGGAATTCCTCAAGAGTTAAGGGCTGTTTGTGCTAATGGGACGGAACATGTAGACGTATTGGACGATGGAGAATAATATCTAGCTTCTTGTGATTAGCAAGAGCATAATAGAATGGTGTAGACCGAATGGTAAAGCAATAATTTAGTCCCCGGATGCAAGTTTAAATCCGAAGTTATTGTTCATGTCTATTATTACGGAGGGTTCAGCTAGGCTAACCGTTTACACTAAATTTGTAGCGGTGCTTTTATAGCCACATATCTTCCATTATGCTAGTTGCACTCATTTGGGCAACCGGAGTACAAAATTTCCAAAATTAATTGTCAAAAATGGTCCTTATGCCGCAAAATCACCAAAGCTAAACCCTTTAAAAGAATAATAAAAATCAGTACCTTATCATTTAGCACAATATTAAACACTTATAGGGAACAAAAGTTAATGTAAAATTCAGCCTTTCATATTTATTTTAAGTTTCATTCTTTGTACCAATATTTATTAGTAAAATGTCTCGCACAATATCCAAAAGAGAAATGAAATTTTAATTAAACTCAAGAACTAAAAGTTATGATTGTGTTGCTAGTTATGTGACAGACTAGAGCGAGACAAAAAATATATAGTGATGGGCACTTCACAATGGCAAATGAAAATTATAGCTCAAAAAACGAAACAAAATATCTTGTAAACTTTAATTCTATGGTGAGATCAGAAAATTCGTAGAAACTTAGTAAAAGATGACATTTATTCCAGTGAACTTGCATAGTATAATGAGTTAGACTTGTCTTTGATTCCATATCATGTCTCTGATTCCATATTTCTCATGTTTGAGTTGTTGCTTTTGTAGACTAGCTAGCCTCACCAATACCTCAGGCTAGTAACACATGTTTTAAAACTGTACAAATGAGGTGATCATGACTAGAGAAAATAATAATGTTGTGCTAGTGATAGGCTTCAGTGAGGATGATTAAACAAGTCCTCCTGTACCTAGGAAATGCTTTTGTGTTCAAGAGTTGACCGTCCATCTCCATAAAATGACACCACCGTTCTCACCGAATGCTTTCGCATACAAGTGTGTCATCAGACGAGACTGAAAGCTCATCATGTATGCCTTTAATATGGCCAAAATGAATGGATGTACACTTTGTGTTTAAAAGTTGCCAAGAAAGAATGACATCTCTTGGCGTAATTTCAAATTTGCATGTGCTGAAAATGGTATGAAAAGGTGTTTTAGGCGTTTGTATGGCTGTTTTATGTGACCAACCAATAAGCATTTTTATTGTCTGTATGACATACATCTCATCCTACGTGGTGATTAAATTTTGAAATCACTCATTTTGAATTGGCTTGTTACACATCACATGTCCTTGTCACGTAATACGTGGCGGGTAGAACCTCACATGAAATTAGTTGTAATATGTAACATGATATGTAGTTTCATTTATTGTCCGTTGCTAATCATAATTAGTTATAGAATTTCAAATTCAGGAATAAATTGAAGCCATAATGGTAATTGTATTAAACTTGGAATTAGTGTACGTCTCCATATCCAGATGCATAAAATGAAGGTGAGTGCGTAAATGAACGTATTGTTAACACCTAAATTTTTGCCTATGGGTTCCTTATGCATTTAGGAGTAGAAGCATTATGGTTTATAGATAACTAGTTTCCCCTTATGTAGGTCATCCATGCATTTTATAAAAATTAGGAATTGGATTCATCGGTAACGACGTAATTTGACTCTCAACCAAAAATCTTGTTATTGTATGGCCCGGATTCGCATTGCTTATTTTTGTGTGTTCTCTCATCATTCATTCTAAAATTCGTCAAAATTAATGGCCACCCTCTAATCACTCATTTTGCCTCACATTTTCATGTGGCTAGCCTTGTACCTTTACCCTCATAGATTGTTGATTAAATGGGAAAAATTGAACTTGCAAGTGAGACGATTTGGGGATTCTAAACGAGGTAAGAATGGAACATTGAAATTGAACTAAATTGATTAGATGGGGATAAGTTGTGACCGGCCATTTCCCCCTCTCTTGAACCAGGAAAACAATCTCCATGGTCCTTATCCATTCCACAAGCCATTGGATTAAAAACTGCACTCTTTGACTTGGACAAAGACGTACACCTCGTGAAGTCATTAATTATGACAGCTCAAGGAAGTCATACCCACCTTTTGACCATTCAAAAGACCAGCGGAAACGAAAGAACCAGCAGAAACTTCAAGAGACCGGCGGCGGAGCTTCGAGGAACAAGGAGGTAACTGTAAATTTTACTAGAGCAGCTTCGGCTGACTTGATTGGACAAAGAATGAAGGGAAAGAACCGGCTGAACATAAAAGGATCAATCGACAATAAGCTCCAGGACGGAAGAAAACGAAAAACTTTTGAAGTGTGGTTTAAGGTTAGACCACAAGAAGAGATCGTGCGAGGGGCCGCCGAGAGAAAAAAAAAATGCCCCGAGGTTCCCCCTCTCCAAGCGTGGACGGCACAACCCACCATTTGCTTTCTTGTTTCTCCCCTTTTGTTTTCTTTTTGCTTCTTCGTGAAAACGTGCAGACCCTCTTTTCTTGTCCTTTCTCACTTGTTGCTTTTTTGTGAAAGTGTTGAAGGAAAAAGACCTCCTGCCGTGTCAGTCCATGGAGAAGAAAGAAAAGGGCATCGCTTTTTTTGTCCCTTTCCTTCCTCTCCTCCTCTCTTCTCCTCCTCTCTTCTTTCTCTGTTTTTCTCGGAATTGTGGCCGAACTCCCCTTTTCTTTTCGGGGGTATAAGGTGTAAGGCAAGAGAGAGAGACCCTCGTTTGTCTTTTGTGGCTGGTGCATGCGCATGGCATGCGACTCATGTATGTATAAGTCCTATATTCTATTAATACGATACGGATGCTAATTGTAATGCAAATGCAAATAATGTGTGATAAATGTAAAGTGAAAAATAATGTTGTGAAATTTTCTATATATTTCATTGAACTATACATGAGCCTATTTATAGGCTTTACAGAATGACTAACTATAGTAATATAATATTACAATAGGAATTACAATCAATCAGAATAACGAGATTATGATTCTATGAGATACTCATAATCAGAATAGCGAAATTATAATCCAAGAGATACTCAGAATCAGACAATATATTTCTAACAATGTGAATGATATTTATGTTTAGGGGTCATATCAGCCCCTAATTTTCTATGCAATTAAATCCTAAATAAAATAGCGAAAACTTAGATCCTCTTTGAAGGGGAGCTCGAAGAGGTTTCTTTCAAGGGTTAATACCACGAAAAACCCTAAACTGGTACACTTGTGACACATTTACCCTAAACTATTTTTTTGACCACAAAAAACTCCAAACTGGTACACCTGTGACAATTTTACCCCAAACATACCATAAAAAATCCTAAACTAATACACATGTGACAATTTTACCCCGAACTAATTTTTTAATATTATTTTTTATTATTTTTTTTTAATTTTGAATTTTTTATTTTTTTCTTCATCTTTAACCTCTGGCCGGTCGCCGGACCGGCAACCGGCCAGAGGTGGATGCCGGTGAGGTCGGCCCCGTCGGCCGTTGGAAAGGGCCGACCTCGCCGGCGTCGGGCGAGGGTTTGTCGCGCCGATGCTCGAAGCAAGGGTCGCCTCGCCCGACGCAGTGAGGGTCACCCCTCGCCTAGATCCTGGCGAGGGCGCCCTCGTCGGCGTCGGGCGAGACGCGCCCTCGGCCCGACCCAAAGCGAGGCTGTCCTCGCCCTGGCCCTTTACCCGGGCGAGAGTGCCTCGCCGAACGCCGGCGAGGGCGTACCTCGCCTCGACGACGGCGAGGGCGGCCCACGCCACGGCACGGCGGCAGGGCCGACCTCGCCGGCTTCCGCCTCTGGCCGGTCGCCGATCCGGCGACCGGCCAGAGGTTGAAGATGAAGAAAAAAAATAAAATAAAAAATTTAATAACAATTCGAAAAAATAAAAAGTACTATGAAAAATTTAATTCAGGGTAAAATTGTCACATATATACCAGTTTGGAGTTTTTTGTAGTAAGTTCAGGGTAAAATTGTTACAGGTGTACCAGTTTGGGGTTTTTGGTGGTCAAAAAAATAGTTCGGGGTAAAATTGCCACAGGTGTACCAGTTTGGGGTTTTTTGTGATCAAAAAAATAATTTGGGGTAAATGTGTCACAAGTGTACCAGTTTAGGGTTTTTCGTGGTATTAACCCTTCTTTCAAAGATAATAGACACTTAAATTTGTCAGCGGAAGTCAAGGGATGGCACAATGGCTGAGGATGAGAAATATGATTGGACGAAAGGTCTTACCATGTAAAAATGGTGTTCACCGGAGGAAAGGTCTTGCCATATAAAAATGGTCTTCGACCGAAGGGGTGGTCTTGTGTAAAGAGATGGCCTTACCATGTAGAAATGGTGTTGTCGAACATATAGCCTTACCATGTAAAAATGGTCTTAATCGATGGGGTGGCCTTACCATGTAGGAATGGTCTTGACCGAAGGGATAGTCTTTCGAGGCTACGGGCTGCGATCACTTGCGGAGGTCCTGAGGCTGCTAATCCGCGTACACTCGCAAAAGGACTATGAAGAGACCACTACACTTGATGGGTCAACTTGAAAAAGTCATCTGAGGCTACAGGCTGCGGTCACTGCGAAGAATGATAACTCAGGGGCTGCTAAAGACTATTAAAATCACTGTATTCATAGCTACAAGTCGCGATCTCAATGACTACGAACCTGCAATTTGCTTTGGAATACCTACTTGAAAGTGTGGTTTAAAGATAAATTCATGAACCTTTTGAAAACATGATTTAATGACAAACCCTTGAACCCTTTGGAAAGTGTGATTTAAGGATAGACCCACGAACCTTTTGAAAACATGATTTAAGGATAAATCCTTGAACTTTTGGAAGTGTGGTTTAAGGTTGGACTACAAACCTCTGAAAAATTTGGTTTAAAATTGGATTATGAACCTTTTGAAGTGTGGTTTAAAGTTAGAGGATGAACCTTTGGAAAGTATGATGTAAG